CTATTGCAGTGTTTTATATATTTCCTAATAGCAAGAGGATCCAAAAGTCCTAACACTTAGAACACAGTAGGCTCTGTTCCAAACCTGTAGGCTCTGTATCATAAAATTTACAATTTGATTGAAAGTGATTATATAATCCTCCCCATTGTAACCGTACCTAAACAGTAAAAGAACAAACAAGATAAAAATTTACATAAATTGAATATGAGGCACATAAAGAAATGTTTAGCAGGGAAGGTGAAATAGCACAATACGTGTCAAAAACGGTAGAGAAGGGAAGGTTCGGTAAATAAGTTCCCCAGCAGAAGACCGACAGTAGTACGATTTATCGTCGAGATTTAGGAACAAGCGGGGGCAACAAAGTGAAGGTTATAACGAGAGGAACGAAACGGCGGAGGCAAAAATGGAGTCGAAAGGAGAGGAGAGAATTTTCTTAAATTGCACTCTGCAGCTCCTGAGAGACCTTACACAGGGATTTCGACGCCCACGGCGAGGGATAACGAGGCGAACTCTTCGTGGAGAGCCGAGACACACACCGGTAGGTCTCCCGTGGCAATACACAGCCCACAGGGACATAATTGATATCCGGGAAGAGCAAAGGAAAGAAGAACGAACCTGGAGACGTTCTGAGAGTCGCGTCGTTGGCGGAGGGAGCAAGAGGAAAAAATTATCTCACGGAGGGCAAACCGACACGAAAGGGAGAAAGACGGAGGACCACCGAGATCGTGTCCAGAATCGCCGACTTGCCGAAACTCCGGCAAAGCCCACCTAAGCGCCGAATGCCTTTTTCCTTTCCCCTTTACTCCTGCCATCAATTCACCGCTCCTTTTCTTTAATAGTCGGTTCAACACTCCACAAACATCGAGTGACCACCTTCGTCCCGACTAATTGCTAATCCCCCGGTAAGCAAAGGATCCTTTTGTTCTTACGCCCTCCTGTACCCAGCCGTTTCTCGATAATTTCCGATATCATAATCAGAGGGACAAGATAAATTTTCTGTCACCTTTAGATATCAACATTTGGACCCACTACCTTCCAGCTTGTATTAAGTCCCCTTGTGATATCGCCAGGACCACCCAGGGTCTAACGTCGCTTCTGTGACAATAGGCAATATATTTTGCTACTATATACCAAAAATTATGTACATAACACTAATAAAACTGGTAAAACTTGATATTTGGACCACATGCCTAAGCAAGAGGGAGTACCTCAAGAAGAACTCATGGCACATGTGAGGGGGCATGCTGTAGAGAGGTTCTATATCCTCTTCTTATATTGCAAATGGGTTATTTTATCCTGTACAATGCAGAACTGCCCTAAAACTACATTAAAATAACATGGAATACTTGATAGCAACAAGGGACAGAGGGTGCCTCAAGAGGACCTCATGGCACATGTGAGGAGGCATGCTTTAGAGAGGTTCTATATCCTCTTCTTATATTGCAAATGGGTTATTTTACCCTATACAGTGCAGAACCGCCCCAAAAATATATTAGAACAACACAGAATACTTAATAGCAACAACAGGCAGAGGGTGCCTCAAGAGGACCTCATGGCACATGTGAGGAGGCATGCGTTAGAGAGGTTCTATATCCTCTTCTTATATTGCAAATGGGTTATTTTACCCTGTACAGTGCAGAACCACCCCAAAAATATACTAGAACAACACAGAATACTTGATAGCAACAAGCAGAGGGTGCCTCAAGAGGACCTCATGGCACATGTGAGGAGGCATGCTTTAGAGAGGTTCTATATCCTCTTCTTATATTGCAAATGGGTTATTTTACCCTATACAGTGCAGAACCGCCCCAAAAATATATTAGAACAACACAGAATACTTAATAGCAACAACAGGCAGAGGGTGCCTCAAGAGGACCTCATGGCACATGTGAGGAGGCATGCGTTAGAGAGGTTCTATATCCTCTTCTTATATTGCAAATGGGTTATTTTATCCTGTACAATGCAGAACTGCCCTAAAACTACATTAAAATAACATGGAATACTTGATAGCAACAAGGGACAGAGGGTGCCTCAAGAGGACCTCATGGCACATGTGAGGAGGCATGCCTTAGAGAGAATCTACGTCTTCTCCTTATATTGCAATCTGATTATTTTAACCTACACAATGCAGAACCACCCCAAAACTACATTAGAATAACACAGAATGCTTGATAGAAGCCTAAACCTTCTCGGACAAAGGCCCCTACTCACACGCTCAACAAATTAGAGAAATTTGACCATTTGCTTTTCATTGTTTCATTGTCTAGTAGAACATATTCCCAAAACGGCATGTAGAAATTCCAAGTATTTAAACAGTTATGCGTACTTTTGTAGAGGCATCTGGAGGTTCAAACTTGCCTCGCGGTCGACAAATGTTTTAGTTACATACCATTACATTCTACGTTTACCTGTTAAGGGCCGTATGCTTCATTCCGTGACACAACAATTCGTTATAAGGGTGTTAGAATTGTTAAAGTTTATGGTGAAATAGGGTGAGACGTGGGAGGGGGCGAGTTCAACTACTGAGCTAATTATGAAGCGGTTATTGTGGCATTTTGTTTTGGGGAACACTTTGTAATATTTGATTAACCAACTTATGTTTATTGATTATATTAAGCGGTTTAGGTGTCTAATGTGATTTATGCAATTTATGTGACGTGTGATTTCTTCGATTTATGTGATGTGTGTGATCTATGACTTGTGTAGCTGATGTGAGTTATGTGAAAGGCATGTCTTGTGTGACGTATGTGATTTATGTGACTGGTGTGACAGATGTGACTGATGTGAGTTACATGACCCACAACACTCGTGTGACATATGTGACATGTGACGCATGACTTATGTGACTTGTGTTAGTTATATGACATGGTGACGTATGTGACATACGACTTCTTATAAGTTGTGCTACTTATATGTTAATATGCTACATATGACTTATAAGTTGTGCTACTTATGTCACACATAACTTACATAATGTGTTACTTATGTGACCTACATGACATATGTGGTTAGGTTAGACATGTGACTCGTATGATTTTCATATGACCCATCCACAGCAATTAACACACGAAATAAACAAGAAGGACCAACTGACCAATCGATAAAAACAAACAACACAACAATAAATAATGCATCAACTAAAAAAAGCAAAGGTCTCGTGTTACTGTCGACGTTAAAACCTTATGCAGCGTAAAATATGTACAGTGTCGGTTGCACGGCAAACAAGATTATCAGATTCATTCGCGATCGTGTGAAACAATAAGTATACAAGCGGTATATAGTGTAACGAGAGAGATGCATGTACACAGGAAATCCTAGTTACCGTCGTTCGATCCCGTCAACCGTAAATCATACTACCATGGAGAGAATACTTGCTATTCCATGCTCTTGAATAATTACATCTCCCTTTAACCACCTGCGGGTTTAATCCTATTATGCTGTGTCGCCTCTTGCGGTAAAAGAACCGAATTACAAATGTTTAACTATGAAGAGATACGCGATATGATTACGGTGGAGAAAATGAAAAATGAACCGATAAAAAATTATTAGAAAAATTGTGTATTTGGGCTACTTTTGTTGAGCATGTATTTTTATACATATGTGGATATGTTAGATTGCTAATGGATATATTAGACTGCTGGTTCATGTATGTGGATAGGTTAGAGACATGGTAGAGTCACGTGTGATATGGTAGAGTCACGTGTCATATCTCGCATTATATGACCACTGTGTGACCATGTTAGATTGTCATATGATACGTGTATGTTATCATATGTTAGTCACATGTAAGATCACTATGCACCATATATCCAGCACTGTCATATGTTAGTCAGAAGGTGGATCACTATACACCACATATGACACATACGTGTAACCCAACATCACCACATATGACACATACGTGTAACCCAACATCACCACATATGCCACATTCATATAACCACACATCACCACATATGCTACATATATGTATACATATAACCCTACATCACCACATATGGTACATACATTAACTCCACATCACCACATATGCTACATACATATAACCTTGCATCACCACATATGCTACATACATACAACCCTACATCACCACATATGCTACATACATATAACCCTACATCACCACATATGGTACATACATATAACTCCACATCACCACATATGCTACATACCTATAACCTTACATCACCACATATGCTACATACACATAACCCTATATCACCACATATGCTACATACATATAACCCTACATCACCACATATGGTACATACATATAACCCCACATCACCACATATGCTACATACACATAACCCTACATCACCACACGTGCCATATACACATAACCTCACATCAGCACATATGCCACATACACGTAACCCCACATCACCACATATGTCCCCAAAATTTTATCCCAAAATTCTAGCATTTACATATCACCAAACCTATCTACCCAAGTGAATCGTAACAAGATGAAAATTTCAGTGGTAGAACGGCAATAATAGGTTAAACTGTTTTGTCCGAAACTTCACGAATCGTTTAACCTGCGACCAGAATCATTTCGATTTGTACGCGGACAATTTTCCGCCACTCAACGTCAAATCTGCTTACCCCGAGATAAAAGAGAAGTAAGAGGAAACCGCCAAAAACTTGTCAGCAAGTTTAGAAATGAACAAAGAACCGTCCGCCGGTGCAGCAAGCTTTTAAGCCGCCAGATTATCATTGTTGCGATATTTATCTAGCAGATTCTGGTCGCGTTTCTTCGCTGGGGTTTTCTGATACATCAAGCGGATTGACAAATAAACCGGACAATGCCCACCGAGCAGAATAAGTCTATTTAACCTTCTTTCGACACAATGATTATTCGAAAAGTTTCTTTTATGGTGGCAAATCCTATGAACTCTAACGTTCAATCTGTAAACGTCTTTAGTATTATTTACGATGTACAGGGCGGTTCATAAAAACATGTATTTTGCGAAGGGATCACTCAATGTTAAATTAGGCTATGTTCTAAAAATCTAAAATTACAAAATTACAAAAATTAAAAAAATTACAAAATGAAAAAAAATTACAAAAATGGAAAAAAATAATTTAAAAATTTACGCTTTCCGGATCGAAAAAATATCTTTGGGTTGTATTATTTCCATCTAGAGCCGCTCTGCAATGAATTTGCAGAATAACAAGTTTTTTCGAGGATTATCGCAATCGGTTCAAAAGGAATTAACTTTTTCGGAAAACTGTTTTCTGTTAATCCGCGGAACACTAACAGCACGACGCACACTGAAATAAAAAATAAACAAAAAAACGATGAAAAATAATTGTTTATCTCCGTAAAAATGAACGGATATTTGAAGTCTCAGTAAGTGTGATGATTTGATATAAGAGAAGTGTGAACATTTGACTTAAAAATTGGTTAAATTGTAGTTAAATGCTAGTTGAATTTACAATGCGCAGAATTGTATGCATGAGAAGGTTTCTTGAATGATTTGATATAAGAGAAATGCGAACGTTTGACTTAAAAATTGTTTAAATTTTAGATAAACGCTAGTTGAATTATATGTACAATAGGATTGCATGCATAACAAGGATTATGATCCGATAAAAAGACGTGGACTCACCACATTGACGAAGTCCTGAAACGTGACCGCCTGAACACGCGATTCCTTTGCCCTGGTGAAAAGAATACTTCGTTTATTCGCCGGTATCTCGGCTTTCCATTCGGGACTTTTCAAAGCCACCAAAAAATCCTCCATCGGTATCTCGCCGAAACCCTCGGGATCAAACTGAGAAAAAAGAAATCGGTCGTGTTGAATGCATGTATCATATGCTGATTTTCTAAAGGTAGATGCACATATCAACGACGTGTATATACTCACCTTATCAAACAGCATTCGCCATTTCTGTAAGAAGAGGAAAAAGACTTAGTGTGCTTTTCTGATATTCGATATGCAAAGGTGAATAACTTCAAATGATAATACTGAGATTATATGCACATTGTATGCATACTAGGTTATATCTAAATTCCTAATTCGTAGTTCTATACATTTTTTAATATATTTTTTAGTACTTTTCTAAATGTGTAAATTTGTGTATTCAGATGTGCTTAAATTTCAAGGTTTATAAATTGCTAAGTCCCCATATTTTTAGGCCCCTATAGTCCCAAGTCATGATAGTCCCAAGTCCCTATAGTCCCAAGTTCCTATAGTCCCATTTCCCAAAGTTCCAATTTCTCTACCTCCCAATTTTCCAAAGTCCCAATATTGTAAGGTCCTAATTTCCCAAAGACCCAATATTGCAAAATCCTAATTTCCCAAAGTCCCAATATCTCAAGATTCCAATTTTCCAAAGTCCCAATATTGCAAGATCCTAATTTCCTAAAGTCCCAATACCTCAAGGTCCCAATCTCCCAAAATCCCAATATCTCCAAATCCCACTCTCCCAGAATCCCAATCTCCCAATGTCCCACTCTCCCTAGTCCCCCACTCTCCCAAGTCCTAATCTCCCAAAGTCCCAATTTCCCAGAGTCCCAATCTCCCAGAGTCCCACTCTCCCTAGTCCCCCACTCTCCCAAGTCCCAATCTCCCAGAGTCCCAATATCTCAAGGTCCCAATCTCCCAGAGTCCCACTCTCCCTAGTCCCCCACTCTCCCAAGTCCCAATCTCCCAGAGTCCCAATATCTCAAGGTCCCAATTTCCCAAAGTTCCAACACCTCAAGGTCCCAATATCCCAGAGTCCCAATACCCCAAAGTCCCCATATCTCTAAGTCTCCATATCCCTAAGTCCCCATATCCCTAAGTCCCCATATCCCTAAGTCCCCATATCCCAAACTCCCTAAAATCCATCATCTCAAAATCCTAATCCCAAGATCGCAAGTCCCAAATTTTGCAAATGATCAAATAGCAAAATTAGCAACTTTCAAGTGCAATACAGAAACACGTGTACATACGTCGTTGAGAAGTTCCCGCCTATACTCGGACTCGTCAATATCAATTTCGGAAGCGAGATCCGTATGATCGGTAACATAGCCATCGTAGTGCGCGCTGTTCGCCTCGCTACGTGCATGTTCTTCCTCCTCCTCGACGGTACCGGCGATGGTCGGTATTGAAGCACCACTTGCCAGTAGCATTACCACGCGTGGCACGAGGTCACCGGATAAATCTCCTCATTCCACCCTCTTTCGTTCGTTTCCTGAAACACAACGCCATCGTCTGCCATGGAGGTGTCTGTGATATCTACTGTGGCTGACTAGTTGGCAGCTGGTTATGACTCGTTCTCATAGCCAAACCATCATATTATTTCTTGTAAACTAATAAATTCTGACATTGTAACTACTGTTAATAATTTAATGTAGCTATTGTCTGATTGTTGTTAAATATTGTTATAATTGTTACTGGCATAATTACTAGCATTTGCTGTCATTATACTATTGTTACTATTTTATTTAAATAAAGTAATGCACAATTATAGTAATGGACTGCTGTAAATATTGTCACTGTTATTATAGACCTTGTCTGATAATGTCACTGCTATCATAATTATCACCATTATAATATTTGCTAACGTTATTATAATTGCCACTGTAAATAAATGCTACTCTACTGTTATAATTGCTAGTGTCAAAAATATTTTGACCATTACAATAATTGTTAACATAATAAATATTGTTGTTCGTGTTCATTTTGCACCTATGTTACGGATAATATCCAAGGCTGCACCTAACAGCATTTTATAAGGTTTCATTTCTTGTGTGTTCCAAGACCTATAACCGCGACGAAATCAACACGTCCACACGGTTAAGCAACCCCTAGTTTCTTTACCTCCCCGTTCATTCGTTACCCCTCGGTTTTCGGTGCAAACCACCCCCATCCCCAATGTATCGTACTCCGCAAAGTCATCCCCCTATCCTACTCTCTCTTTCCTATTTATACACCTATCCCTCTTCTGCGCCATCTTCCACGATTAAGCTCCTTGCAAACAGACCCATTTGCTACTGAGGTTAGGTTTGTAGGAGAACACTGCTTCCTACCATGCACCAGTGGTGTCTTCTTACAACCTGCCCTACGTCGTGTCAGGTTTCCTAGAATCCTTATCGTGAAACCTAAAACAGGGCTACCCTGGTACTATTCGTGACCATTTTGAATTGTAACGAGAACTGTCGGTTTTCTTTATTGATACAAATTTTGAGAAAAAAGAAATTTAGGTCGTAAGTGTTGTCATTGTCAGATCGGCCATATAATGAACAAGTGTCAAGGTTTTGAAATTTTGGGGACTGACCAGGTATCTCTGTATCTACTGATTTTATGCCTTTTTATATTTTAACACGATTTTTCAAGAAAGAATTACATACTTATATATCAAATATAATAATATATAAATGAATGTTTAATTTATAAATAAGCTATGTGCATACATTTGTACTTGCTATGAATTCAAAATAACTATATGTACCTCCCTTTATAATAAATAAAATATTACCTCCCCTGTTGTAAAATAAAATTGCAATATTAAACAATGCTTACCTTTTAGAACGCGAATACAACAACCTCGAAGTGTGCCACGAACAAATATTCCCGAAGAGGAAGGAGAGAATGTCAGAAGAGACCGTTAGCCATAACACCATAATCGGCAGGACTCGATATCCGTAATAAACACGTTCGAAAAAAATCCCACGACGTCGTATCACAAATATTATAACAATTAATCAACGACAAACACACAATCTTTAAACAGTCATCGCGTGAATAATGTTTTATTTATTCAAGCGGAGCGTTCCGTTGTTTTGGCGCCATATTGACAGTCAATGTATCGATAAAACAGTTCGAAAATTGATCGAGGATCAATTTCCCGAAACTTCCTTTACGTCGTGTTCGATGCAGGCGAGAAAGAAACGCGTCATGGAAGTCGCGTTCGTTGTTTTGATGTCAACAAATCACACGCACACAATCGGAGTTCACGTAAATGCGCGAGACGAGGAATTTGAAATGAAACATGGCGGTGGCACGGCAAGTGGGTCTGCGAGTTCGTGGATGACAACGGGACAACGTTGTCGTTGTCGTTTGTTCGGCGGATATGCAACGGAGTTAGGGAAAAACTGATCGAACGTCGAACCGTGTTGGCACACGACGTTCGGACACGGAAAGGAAATTGCTGTACACGAGACAGCCAGTAACAATGCCGCGAGGAACTGCGGCAACGTGCGCAAAATTCGTTCGATCGATAATACAGGTTGCCGCGGACTACGCTGACCAATAACAATCAGATCACACAAGACACACGCGAGAAACACGTGGAGACTCGAAATGCGGTCGCTGTTTAACGTATTGCCGATATCAACCGATGTTGACGACGGGAAATGCGTCACACGACTGACGAGTACTTTACCACCCTCGGAGACTCCCCTTTCCATCCCCCTTTTCCACCCCCTCAATTCGTTTCACCCCAGACTCGTTCGTTCAACCCCAACGTCCAAGAATATGCAATGGATGCTTGCATCGTTATTGACACGGTACAGACCAATATCCTCCGATACAATGCTACAAATCTTGGCTTATTTTGTCACTACTATTGACCATAAACTACTCACTCCATACCATATTATTACTTATACCAATATGCAATAAAAATTCTATTTTAAGTTTTTAGAAATTTGTTAAGTTTTAAGTAAATTTTAGATGGAGTCCCATCTGACTACTGCCCCTTATTTTTTCATTTTTTAAAAATCCAATAAAATACTTTGAGAAAAAATTATTATATTTAAAAGGCACAATTGGGTTGATGGTCACCTCAAGGTCATATCTTCTGAAATTTTATAATAACCTTCTCAATGTAACCTTACATTTCTTAAATAAATTCCTTGCTTTTTCTTTAATTCCTAAATTTTTTATATTCCTAATACTTCTATTAAAAGTAAATATTTAACTTCAAAGATATGTCCTTGAGATGACCTTTAACTTAACCTAATTTTCCCTCAAAATATAACACTCTCTGAAAACATTTTTTCAGAAATTGGTCCAAATAAATACACTGTATTTCTGCATTATTTATACTAATTATGTTTATTTACAAATATTGTATTTTATAAAAATTGACTGTATGAGACTCACCAAAACAATATAACAATATTATGAAAATAAGAGTAACAAATATTTATTGAACTACCATAATATATTTAAAATTACTTTCTTTACAAGTTCCCTATAAAATTTTAATTATATTTTATCTTATACTATCTTCGCGAAGAGTTTCTTTAAGTCCCACAATCGTTATAACACTGTGCCAATATATTAAACATGAATAAGTTCAATATATTGCATGAATATTTTACAATCTTATTTTTAGCAGTATTCAAATTTCTCAGAGGGCGCAGATACAGTTTTCTGCATTTCCTTTCGTCGTCGACAACCATGACGAAAGTTAGGTTATGTTAGGTTAACTTTTCAGTTGTCAACTTCAAGCATGTGATAAGTATGAAAAGATCCCAAATGCATAACAGAAATACGGAAACTATGTTATATTTACATGACTGGAGACAAGCATTGCGTGCTCCTAGGGTCTATAGAGTTGCCAATAGTACTTTTCGTATACAAAGTCAGTACTTAGCTTTAATTTTCTTACTGTTAACCGTCCCTCTGTTTTTATTTGGATTCCCCTTGTTGCGGGGAATTGTACGTCCTGCGCCATCGAATCAGTTCTTGACGCAATGTCGATATTATAAATACAATAAAACGTACCCTTTGTCAGCACCGTACAAGACTTCAAAGGGTGTTACCTATAGAATAGCAATAGTAAGTGATCTCGATCATAACTCCAAAAGCTTAGATAAAAAGAACATGTGGCAGAGCATTATGAAAACTGGAAGTCTCTTTTGGAACCCTAGCACGAACTTAATTTCAATCCTTTGGGATGATAGAAATCAGATATTAACGTCATCTTTAACGATGAAAGGACGTGGCATGGAATTGTCCGAATTGGTCACGTTTGATGGACGCTTACTGTCTTTCGATGATCGTACAGGAGTTGTGTACTTCATTGAAGGAGAAGAAGCTTATCCATGGGTCATACTAATGGATGGTAATGGCAAAAATTCTAAAGGTAAGCGCTAAATCTTATACACCCAATGCTCTGCAGAGTATAAAACTAGGTACACATTAATGCCAAGCTTCTGGAATTATTTTCAGGATTTAAATCAGAATGGGCAACCGTTAAAGATGAACATTTATATGTTGGCAGTATGGGCAAAGAATGGACTACTCCTTCTGGAGAATACGAGCACAGTAATCCACTCTGGGTCAAAGTAGTATCATCCCGTGGTGAAATCGAATCTTTGAATTGGATTTCAAATTACAAAAGATTACGACAAGCAGTTAACATAGAATATCCAGGTGTGTATTTCATATGCAAGGACATCACTCAATTACTAATTAGTTACTTTTCACAGGTTACATGATTCATGAATCAGGAGCTTGGAGTGACATACACAAAAAGTGGTTCTTCTTGCCAAGAAGGTGTTCTCAAGAGCGTTACAACGAAACTAGAGATGAAACTATGAGTTGTAATATACTGCTAACTGCAGATGAGAATTTTGTAGATATTAAGGTTCTACTTCAGTTACTTTAGTACACTATTACATTCGATCAAAGAATAAGTAGAATGTATTTTACAGGTTACTAAAGTTGGTAACCTTGTTCCGGTCAGAGGCTTCTCCAGCTTCAAGTTCCTACCAGGTTCCGAAGACACAATCATTGTCGCTCTGAAAACTGAAGAGTATCAAGGACAAACCGCAACCTACATTGTGGCATTTACAATAGAGGGACATATAATAATGCCCGAAGCAAAAGTGATAGACAAGAAATTTGAAGGCTTAGAGTTTATATGACATTCCGTCTAGGAATAAACTATTAAATTAAACGAATTGTAAATATATGTACAGATTTTTTAACTTCATACTGTTAAGAAATTTTAACCGTGTAAATCATGTTATATAGTTCGTTTTCAAACCTACAGTATTCTGGCGAGAAATGCGCCTATGCTTTCAAAGCACATACCATATGTAAATGAATATGTAAATGCTTTCTAAAATCTGACATTGTAAATGTATAAAATAAAGATCTTTCAAGCAAAAACAGTATTACAGAATGCAACAGAATTTTGTGTTTATTGTTCATTACCATTTGCATGAGAATAAATTAGCGTTACTTATTTTGAACATGATTTCGAGGAAACCTAGCAGATATCATAACGCGGTTTCAGGGTCGTCGCGTATATAGTCTAAAATCAATAATATCTATATATGAAAACCGAGATGGTGGCAGCAGCATTGCGCTATGTTAAGAAAATTTAGTCAACTCGTGGCACTGTGGATAAAAGGCTGCCCAGTAAATGTTCCAGTATTTTTCAATTAAACTCAAAATGGTGGTGCGTCGATAACAGTTCGAAACTTGCAAACCTGTACAAAAGAGTTCAGTCAATACGGCTTAAGAATGAGAAACAAAGGTGTAAAAAATTAATCCACGTATTTATTTTTTCCGAATTACATATTGATATAATTCCAACACAGTTAATTCGAAAGTGAAGTGAGTCTCAAAAGGAAATGTTTTATCGCGTAACCATATTCGACCTTGAAATTTCTTCTCTGTTGCACAGTGAGAAGATACCGCAAAAATATTTGTCATTATGGCAACGGATTTAGTCTGAGTTACACGAGAAAATTCACCGTCGATTAAATTGATTTCAATTCCGTTACTTGACATCCGGTGACATGTGTTTAGTACACGTGACTCTGCAATGAGTTCCAAGTGAAATTATCATGGCTAAAAAGATGGAAGCGAAAGAGTGGAGTATCGCCAGAACGGGGATTTCTCTTTTGTTGAATAACAAAGTCGAGGAAGCCGAAGCGCTGTTCGACGGCCACCCCCACAGCTTCCACGTAAAAGCGGGTCGCTGTTTCGTCCTGTTTATGGTACGTAAAATATTCCGAAACAAAGACGAAAATAATGTTTGCGATTTTCAGAATGCGCTAATGACGTTCGAGAACGATAAACTTCAGCAAGCTATGACGCTACTGAAGGACATGGAGAGAGAATGTGCGAGTGATATAGGGTGGCTAAAGTCTATGAAGAGCAAGGTTTTCAGGACGGAAGAAACTAATGTAAATAACTAAAATTATATATTGAAAATTACATCTTAAGTTGACAAACTTTTGTTTTCAATTTATCACGCATGTAAAGTGAACATAAATGTTACAGAAGGATTATATCAACAAACTGGAGAGGCAAATAGTGTTGGCAGACTCGCAGGTCTGTTCGGCGATATTAACTTTGCTGCAACAAGAACTGACTGGTTATGTCCGTGGCGGGTGGATGTTACGCAAAGCCTGGCAAGTTTATCAGCACGCCTATTCGCAAATTTTACAGCTGTATCAACGTACGTTCGGCACCAGTCCGTCGGGTACGTAATTGCCTCGACCGCTAGTTAAGTGACCTCCATTAGACTGACCGCCATTAAAGTGACTGGCACTCTGCATTACAAAAAATATTAACTGCATCATATTAACATCATGCAGATATATTATAATGCAGATCAAACTTCAAAGAGAACACAACTCTATAATAATTTTCTGTAATATATAATTACAGTATAAATTAATATTAAATGCAGGAAAATAAAATTTCATAATAAGCGAAATTTATCGACAAAATGGACGACACAAGAGAGTCAAAGCACATGTTTCTACCGATGATTTAATTTTTCTTTTAAGGGTTCAATACGAGGTGCAGTACACCGTCGTGTAACGGGTCCTCCTATTCCCTGCAAAGTCTTCAAAGTCCAGGTTCTTCGGAATGGTCTATACCATCCTGCAACGGTTCAACAAACCACCCAACACCAGTCTCGTCCCCCTCAGGTCTGCGAAGCTCTCTATCAATGTTCTTCTCGCTCACTGGCATCACGTCCGAACAACAGACACCGTAATTGTTGTTTCTTCTTACAAACATTTCTCACTCCTTGTCGTCCTTGGTTTTCTCCTTCTCAGGATCGCCGAGAGAAATTGTTCATTCTTTAGGATAGAAAAAATTCTTGTAAATACTAGTATACTAGTATGTTTCTTACTTTGCATCACGCTGTTCTTAGTTTGAGAACATTTTTATTTAGTATATTTCTACAGATTTTATCTCACGATTATTCTTTACGTGAACTTGTTTCATAGATTAGGAAGCTGTATCTTGTAGAGGTTAGACGGTCTCGGTGATCCCGCTCCCTCTACACGAAATGAAATACTACAATTTTTCTTTAATTTCGCAAAAAGTTGCTTATTGAGAATCACATGCAGCAAGTATATAATGGGAGTTGTTCTTTCATGCTTTATTTGCGAATGTTTATGTTTTTGTTACGAGAGCAAAGTCTTACAGTAACAACGAATATAGAGATTTTCAGATAGTACTTTACGTATGTAAGGTCGTGTAAATTTGGATATTTTTAAATAAGCAGAGTGCATATGGAGCTTGGGACTGTGGGTGGCGCCACCGAGTAACGAGTGCCTGTACCAACTCCCTCGTCCGCCATTATTGTTTCCTGAAACTCTCTTAAATAAAACTCTCACCTACAAACTCTAAATTTCTATAATCGTTGATGATACACTGATCAGAAATTACAGTGGGGTCCCATATACTTGCAGTACCTCTTGGAGATTTCAAGTCTTTGAAAATTAAACTCTAGTATACCATTTGAGCCATAATATTACAGTAGTAGTTATAGTCATTAGTTACAGTACCTGTTATAACTAGTCATAGTAATTAGTCATAGCAGTTACAACCGTAATATCAATACCAGAACCTTGATATTAAAAATAATTTATTTTAACATTATTTAACATAAATTACCACATGAACCCTGCAGTACCTTATATGGGATCCACTAGCTTACGCACTAGTCAATAACAAATACCTGTTAAGCACAAACTGAAGGTTACCAGAAGCGAAAAAAATGATATGTTTGACAGTTTCGTTGAGCCCAGCGAGGTCTCCAGACTGATGTCCGCAGTTAGCTTTGGCTACGGGATTTATCAGTTGTGTGTCAGTTTATTGCCGCCATCTCTCCTTAAAGTAATTCACTTTCTGGGGTTCGAGGGCGATAGAGAAGCGGGTCTCACCGCTTTAATGTACGCGCGGGTTAGCGAAGACATGCGTGCTCCTCTTGCCACGTGAGTCTTTAATTCATTCATGACAAATTTTCTATTTTAATTTATTGTACAATTAAGTTGATATACAATTAACTTGTACTGATGTACAGTTAGCTTAGACTGGTAATTAGCTTGGATTATTTTTTGACAATTTTTTATTGATAATTGCAGTTTATCTCTGCTTTGGTACCACACAATCGCGCGTCCTTTCTTCGCTCTCGATGGCAGCAATCTCCGAGCAGGAGTGAACGCTGCTAAACAATTAATCGCAGAGTGTCAGTCAGAGTTTAACAATTCTGCGCTTTTCCTGTTCTTTGAAGGACGAATACAGAGGCTCGAGGTAAAAATATTTCAAACATAAAACTTTATACATCAAGTACATAAAATTGTTGCTTAAGATTGAAAATGACCAAGTAGAGACATGTTTATAAAAAAAATATTTACAGACATTAAAAATATTCAAACATAAAACTTCATACATCAAGTACATAAAATTGTTGCTCAAGATTGAAAATGACCAAGTAGAGACATGTTTATAAAAAAAATATTTACAGACATTAAAAATATTCAAACATAAAACTTCATACATCAAGTACATAAAATTATTGCTTAAGATTGAAAATGACCAAGTAGAGACATGTTTATAAAAAGAATATTTACAGACATTAAAAATATTTCAAACATAAAACTTCATACATCAAGTACATAAATTATTGCTTAAGATTGAAAATGACCAAGTAGAGACATGTTTATAAAAAGAATATTTACAGACATTAAAAATATTCAAACATAAAACTTTATACATCAAGTACATAAAATTATTGCTTAAGATTGAAAATGACCAAGTAGAGACATGTTTATAAAAAGAATATTTACAGACATAATTTATAGTTATTTGCAAGGAACAATTATTTCAAACATTTTTTATTGTATTATTTTAAAAAATGAGTAGTTTGTCAAAAGCTTGAAAATATATCAATTTATAAAATATATAGTCAGCAAAAAATATAAGTCAATGAACTCTTGAATTAACTTTAAATATCCATAGTCAAACGTGAACGACGCTCTACAAGCATACGCAAAGGCGGTCGAAATTTCCAGCCAGAGGGAAATAAAACTGTTATGTTTGCACGAGGTAGCGTGGTGTTACCTAATCCGATTGAGTTACGAAGAGGCTTACCGATCTCTGACTCAATTACGCCAGCAATCCAGGTGGTCTGTGAGCTTCTATGCTTACTTAGCGACTGGTAAGCCATTTTATTTTTCTATATACTCTTTCTCTATGGTACCCTACATTTTGTCTTTTATTTAGTTTGCTGTGGAGCGATCGGTAAATTCGACATCGTGGCTGCGTCTTATAGGAAGATACTCAATTCCAATAATCGAATGAGCAAGGAGACGCAGCTTGGTTTATTCGTGATGCGTAGAACGCCTAAGCTGTTGAATCAGGAGACTGGACAACCGTATGCGGTGTTGTATTATAGATTGCTGATATACGAGCTGCTTTATTTGTGGAACGCCATGCCGTCCTGCTCTGCGGAGTCGCTAAGGGGAATTGTTCTAGGTGAGAAAATGTGGAGATATTAGATTAGATTGTGGACTGAAGTGACATTTTTAAGTTAGGAAAGTTTCAAGTTTGGAAATTTTCAAGGAAGGAAATTTTTAAGTTAGGAAATTTTCAAGGAAGGAAATTTTTAAGTTAGGAAATTTTCAAGGAAGGGAATTTTCAAGGAAGGAAATTTTCAAGTTGGGAAATTTTCAAGTTAGGAAATTTTCAAGGAAGGAAATTTTAAAGTCAAGGAATTTTCAAGTTAGGAAATTTTCAAATTAGTAAATTTTTAAGTAAGGAAATTTTCAAGTTAGGGAATTTTCAACTTAAGGAATTTTTATGTTAGGAAATTTTCAAGTTAGGGAATTTTCAAGTTAGGAAATTTTCAAGTTAGGGAATTTTCAACTTAAGGAATTTTTAAGTTAGGAAATTTTCAAGTTAGGGAATTTTTAAGTCAAGAAATTTTGAAGTTAGGGAATTTTCAACTTAAGAAATTTTTAAGTTAGGGAATTTTTAAGTCAAGCAATTTTGAAGTTAGGAAATTTTCATGTTAATAAATTTTCAAGTTAAAAAATTTTTAAGTTAGGAATTTGTTAAGATTTCTTGAAATCTGTATTGACACTCAAGATGAATAATTAATATTAATTTTGTTATGTTTCATACCTTGTTTGCTTTTCAAAGTGTCTACTGCACTACTCAATTTTTTAAATAATTGTAAGATGAGGGTTATGTCACAGTTAAAGTCCTATACCTATACATACATATACAGGGTGCCTCACAATTAGTGTAGGTCCCTCAAACCTGAGACACCCTGTATGTACAAGTCCTATATGTAAAGAGTTAGCAAGATAATAATTCTTATGATTCTCCCCATAGAATGTAAAGGTAACCGTTCAGACGAGCCCATGGTAGGACTAGCAGATTTAATCGAGGGTGCGGCCTACTCCTACCTAGGCGACACGCAAGCATCGATAGAAAGTTACCGAAATTGTATAAAACGTCGTAATCCGTCCAACGATGCGAACGATCAGCACGTCAGTGCATTCGCACTTTACGAACTAGGCACCGCACTTTGCATTATCAATGTAAGTACAGCTGCGGTTTGGTATATTGCAGCATAGTATATTTGGTATATTGCAATTTAATTTTTAGTTAGGTCTTGTTAATATTTTAGTAAGAGAGGTGCAAATTTTACGAAAAATATAAATGTAAGAGTACTCGTTAATTGTCTAACAGTATCTCCTTGCACCGCCATTTTGTTTCAGAACGTGGAAGAAGGTAAAATGGTTCTCTCGAAAGCTCAAAACCAGTACAGAGATTACGACTTCGAGGGTCGATTGAACGTACGAATACATACCAGCCTGAAGAACTTCAACTGACGAATAAAAATCTGTACGGTTGTAATATACCTGTAGAATTGCAAATATTTTAAGGTTCTTATGGTTTGTCCTATGAGACTCCGTCTATATAACGTTACTAAACTTTCTATACATCAGTGATTTCAATTGATCGCAATATCTCAAAGCGTAGTTTGTTTCGTCGAGATTGTACCAAACGGTGTTCGTTTATTCCGTCTACACTGGTGTAGAGATTCTACTATGCAGAAAGTATCCTATTGTTACAATGTACATAATACATATATTCGTATACTTGTTCGTCCTGTTGTACGTACAATCCGCACGATTTTTAAGGCATTTGCAATAAACTAATTGAAAAAGTAATTATTTTAAAATGGTTTCTCTTGATGATCCTTGAATCTTATGCAATATATGGAGAGGTTTAAAGTTTATATCGAATTGAAGGTTTTTAGTGTTTAATGTTTAATGTTTGAAGTAAATTGAACATTTTAGACATGTTGACTTTTTCAAGTATTTTAAACATGATAAATATTTTAAATATTGTAAACGTTTTAATTATTTCACATATTGTAAACGTTTTAAATATTTTACATATTGTAAACATGCTAAATATTCTAAACACGTCATCATGTTGTGTATCAAGCATCAAATATGAGTATCAAGTGACAGAATGTTGAGTATCAAGCATCAAACATGGGTATCAAGTGTCAAACATGAGAATCAAGTATCAAACATGAGTATCAAGTGTCAGACATGGGTATCAAGTATCAAACATGAGTATCAAGTGTCAGACATGGGTATCAAGTATCAAACATGAGTATCAAGTGTCAGACATGGGTATCAAGTATCAAACATGAGTATCAAGTGTCAGACATGGGTATCAAGTATCAAACATGAGTATCAAGTGTCAGACATGGGTATCAAGTATCAAACATGAGTATCAAGTGTCAGACATGGGTATCAAGTATCAAACATGAGTATCAAGTGTCAGACATGGGTATCAAGTATCAAACATGAGTATCAAGTGTCAGACATGGGTATCAAGTATCAAACATGAGTATCAAGTGTCAGACATGGGTATCAAGTATCAAACATGAGTATCAAGTGTCAGACATGGGTATCAAGTATCAAACATGAGTATCAAGTGTCAGACATGGGTATCAAGTATCAAACATGAGTATCAAGTGTCATCATGTTGAGTATCAAGTATCAAACATGAGTATCAAGTGTCATCATGTTGAGTATTAAGTGTCAAACATGGGTATCAAGTGTCAAACATGAGAATCAAGTATCAAACATGGGTATCAAGTTTCAGACATGGGTATCAAGTATCAAACATGAGTATCAAGTGTCATCATGTTGAGTATCAAGCATCAAACATGGGTATCAAGTGTCAACATGTTAAGTATCAAGTATCAGACATGGGTATCAGGTGTCGAGCATGAGTATCAAGTGTCAAAATGTTGAGTATCAAGTATCGAACATGAATATCAAGTATCAACATGTTGAATATCAGTACCAAACATGAGTATCAAGTATCATCATGTTGAGTATCAACTACCAAACATGTTGAGTGAATATCTGAACCAAAAAGTAGTTAAAAATTACGAATAAAAAGCACAGATGAGAGCACTAATATGAAATCTGCTGAGGTTCGACAAACGGAAGTGAGCAATAAGTCGAAGAAATTTTGACAAGGTTCAAAAGCAACAAGCTATATAGTAGCTGTTCAGGTCGTTCAAAAAATAAAACCAGTGATTATGCGGACGATCCGATGAGCGTTCGAAATACATATTGCTGTGCAAATGGAGGAATCTGTCCAGCTGCTATATTGAATTCCTCTCGCCATTCTCCTTGGTACTGTAAGCTCATCAAACCGTTTGTATTTTGTGTGATTACATCGTTGCTGGGTACGTTGTTTGGTTAAACGACGATTGTTAATTAAGTGTGCTAACCAAGTGTATTCGAAGATAAAAATCTTATAAACATTTCAGCAATGTCAGTGTCTCATCTCTGTGACAAATACTCAGCTAGTACGACTTTTAGAATAATCAGATCCGATCTAGTAAATCTGAGGGCACATTTAAACACCCTTTCGGTAATTATTGTATGATTCAAAATTAGATATATAGAACTAATTGATAATATTTATTTAGATGGAAGTGAAAAATGTAATAGAAACCCGGGACGAGTTGAGGAGTAAGTTGAAAGAAGTTGGATATATAATTCCGAAAATGTCTGAAGCCATTTTGTATTTAAGGAAAGAAGTATCCGAAGGTGTGCTACTACGTTACTTAAATGACCTCTCTTTATATTGCCTCGAATCATATAACATAAAATCCTTGCAAGTGGCAATATATCAAATTACTCACAAGATTTCTTCTTTTACTTTATGGTAATCTTTGTGGAACACTATATTTGTGATAAGATAGTGAAACACTATATTTGCGGAACACTATACTTGTGATAATGAAACACTATACCTACATATACATAGACTGACACCTGTGTGCATGAATGTAAATGTAAAGACGGCAATATAACGAGAGTCTATCGTCCCACATTCTCTCTTCTTTGTGTCACTACTAATGTAAAGACGGCAATATAACGAGGGTCTATCGTCCCACATTCTCTCTTCTTTGTGTCACTACTAATGTAAAGGCGGCAATATAACGAGAGTCTATCATCCCACATTCTCTCCTCTTTGTGTCACTACTAATGTAAAGACGGCAATATAACGAGAGTCCATCGTTCTACATGGTTTCTATGCGTTGCATCACTAATGTAAAGGCGGCAATATAACGAAAGTCTATCGTTCTACATTATTTCTTCTTTGCGTTACACTAATAATTTCTGGTGTTTCAAGCAGGTATGAAGGCAATGTCTCCAGAAACTGTTAAAGATCTGGTAAGAAGTGAATTGCAGACCTACGACGCTGATAAAACTGGAAGAACAGATTATGCACTCGGAAGTTCAGGTTTTAGTTGAACACAAAAATATTTTTCTGATATTTGCCAGTCGATATTCTTATGTGGAAATACTTAGGTGGAACAATTCTTTCAACAAGGGGTACAGAAACGTACTCGGCTGGTGCACCGGTACTGAAACTCTTTGGAATACCTATTTGTCAGCAACAGAACACACCTCACACTATAATTCAGGTTATAAATTTAAATTATTATTGCAATATTAATCATTGGTACAATTACCCATAACAAGGCCTCCATTGCAAAATAAATAAAAAAATTGGTTTGAATAAAAATTGAATTTTGAAGATTTGTTCAATTTGTCTTTGTAAATTTTGATTTTTCATTTGTTTATTAATTGTTTAGACGGGAGTCCTTCCGGGGGAATGCTGGGCGTTCAAAGGGAGCAGCGGAAGCGTTGTCATACAATTACTCGGTTTTGTACAGGTTTCTGGAGTCAGTATGGAACACATTCCACAGTCAATATCTCCAACAGGAGAAACGACTACGGCTCCAAAAGAGTTTTCTGTCCTGGTAATTTCCCGTTACATCAAAATTGTAGAAAGTATTTTGAAAGTATCAGCTTAGGTTTTCCTTAAAAAATGGCGTCCACGCGCAAGACTTCTGAAAAGAGCGCTATCTAGCGGCGAATAGTATTAACCAACAAGAAAATTATATTTTACTGAAACAATAAGTTTTCTGGGGCAATTAGAATAGTCTACAAGCACAATAGGTCTGAAATAACATCACAGTTCATTAATTAAAATAATAAAAATTAAGAATATTATCAAACTATGGATGTTGAAAAGCCTAGCCATCTAGCGGTGAAAGATGGGAACTAATGGAGCCATATTCTATAAAAATATTTGCTTGAATTTTCCATTTGCTAACGCTTATAAAATATTTTTAAGGTCATTTAGTAATGCTACTTGAAAAAAAAACTATTGTTTAAATAATTGAATTAAAATTTCCAGGGTTTGAAAAATGTGGACGACACGAATCCCTTCTTCTTCGGCAAATTCACATACGACAACGCTGGTCCGCCTGTACAATATTTCGAAGTTCAAGTAAATTAACACTTGCCAGTATCGATCTATCACAAATAAAATAATAAAATATACAGACGTTTCTAATTTGCAGAATCGATCGGATAAACCGTACGAGATTATTGAACTGAAAGTTCACTCCAATAGTGGTAACAAAGAGTACACTTGTATCTATAGAATACGGGTTCATGGTACTTTAAGTAAAAAGAACAGATAATTTCTTATAAATTATGAATTAAAAGTAGACTTTTTTCGACGACTTTGGAACCTGAGGAACCGTATGAGATCACGTAGAGTATATATTAATATAATATTAATTTGATTTAGGCATTTATATATAAGCATTATGTATACTTTATTGTGCACCGAATAAAGAAATGTATCTTTCAATTTGTTATACCTAACCTCAACAAGCAAATGTGATAAAAGACCTGTTACTGCAAACCTAACCTTACCTAACATAACCTCAATAAGGATAATTGATCAAAAATCCTGTCACTATAAATCTAACATAACCTAACTGGACCTCAAACAATAAAAGTGATGAAAAACCTTGTCACTGTAAATCTAAACTAACTTAACCTAACCTCAACAAGTACAACTAATAAAAAAACCCTATTACTGTAAACCTAAGCTAACATAACATAACCTCAACAAGTCCAATTAATAAAAAAACACTATTACTGTAAACCTAACCAAATGTAACCTAACCTTAACAAGTCTAATTAGTGACAAAACCCTATTACTGTAAACCTAACCTAACGTCACCTTACTTTAATAAGTGTAATTAATAAAAAACCCCTATTACTGTAAACTTAACCTAACGTCACCTAACTTTAACAAGTGTAATTAATAAAAACCCCTAATACTGTAAACCTAACCTAACGTAACCTAACCTTAACAAGTCTAATTAGTAACAAAAGCCTATTACTGTAAACCTAACCTAACCTAACTCACAACTGTCATAAGTAAACTAGTCCAGGTATGAATAAAACACCCTTAGGTCAATTCAACGTGATCGTCGTTCATTTTATTACATTTGTACATATTTAGTCTTGTTCTACATTTCTATCATCGTGCTCCTTCATTCTCACACACGTACACGCAACCATTCATTCTCCCTGCATAACTTCCTGCCTTTCCGTACACCATACTTTCCTCCCCTGCGCAACTATGATTCGAATTCCCCAGAAACACGATCTAGACTTCTCTCCATACACGAAATACGCGGCACATGTACACGTCAAGCAGACAGAACGGATTTCTCACGATCACACGAACCATTCCTGGGTACTGGCTGTAATTAAAATGTTTACACTCCATTTTGTTTTTTTTTTTTATACTTTGTTTTCTCCTCTGCTATTTTCCTCTGTTAACTGCCTTCTCTAAGGGCGAAGAACGGACTGAAGAGGCACGCGGCAACAAGTACATTGAATTAACAGGTTCGATTAACTGATCACGTGCACAATTCTTGTACTTATACATATTCACGTGACTAGAATGTACGTACCGCGCGTGCCTCACGAGAAAACTCGCGGGTACTCTGTTTCGTACTCGTAAACGCGATATAACCCGAAGAGACCTTTGACCACGCCCACCTACCGCGCTGACCAATCAGCGACGCGTCCCGCCAAGCGCCTTCTCGTCGGGCACGCGCGGTACACGTGCACGCGTATGTATATATACACACATGTACGTGTATACGATGTATGCACACACATAATTACGACGCGTGTGTTATTTGTTTCGCTCTATGTTTCTCTATGTATTTTTTTCACTTTTTTCTTTCTTAATGCGTCGTGTGTTTTTAATTCTTTCCACGAAATTTATCGCCGCGGACAGAAACGCTTCCGCCGCTACGAGGCGCACATACATAGTAGAATCTCTTAATATATATATATATTTTTTTTCGTATTTATATATATTATATTTTTTGCTTTTTTTCCTGTATTCTTACTAACGATACACGTGCATCTGATCGGCGAGATTTCGCGCGCGGTTACACGATCATATCCCCGTGGCTAGAGTAAATTATAATTCGGAGGTCAGTCGTCTAACGCTATCGAGCTATCGAGACTCGGTCGTGGTGCCAAAGAGAAGCGCATTTAGATTTCATTCGAGCGATAACAACGTCTACTGTAAATTAGAGATAGGCATGATTGTGCGTACGAGATTAGACCTCTTATTTTAGTTCAAATAAAATACTAACCAATGTACCTTCGTGACGATGTAAGGAATGTCAGATTTTAAGAGTCGTTTTGCCCTTTGGCACACTTCAAAATAATAGCATATCGTAAAGAGTCGACTCTCATTAATAAAAAGCTACTGTTTGAACATTTCTATGAGAACAAAATAGAGATCATTACAATAGTTCACTTGCAAAGAATGGATTTGTCGTCTGAAATGAGTCTAAAGTTGCAGACGATTTGAGAAAAGTAATGTTTTAAACGCGAAGTGAGCGGGAGACGGTCCGCCATTGCAGCGCATGCGCACTTCAAGGTTCACTTGGCACAACTGTACGGTACACTCAAGGGCAAATATTGCTTACTCTGGAAAAGGGGCTTTTGGAAATTTGTGAATTTGGGGAGTTGGGGAATTTGGGAATTGGGGATTTGGGGATTTAGGGAACTTGGGAATGCGGGAATGGGGAAATGGGGGAATTGGGAAATGGGGGAAATGGGAAATGTGGGAATTGGGGAATGTGGGAATTGGGGAATGTGGGAATTGGGGAATGTGGGAATTGGGGAATGTGGGAATTGGGGAATGTGGGAATTGGGGAATGTGGGAATTGGGGAATGTGGGAATTGGGGAATGTGGGAATTGGAGAATGTGGGAATTGGGGAATGTGGAAATTGGGAAATGTGGGAAATGGGAAATGTGGAAATTGGGAAATGTGGAAATTGGGAAATGTGGGAATTGGAAAATGGGAAATGTGGAAATTGGGAAATGTGGGAAATGTGGGAAATGTGGAAATTAGGAAATTAGGAAATTAGGAAATTAGGAAATTAGAAAATTGGGAAATTGGAAAATCGGAAAATCAGAAAATCGGAGAATTTGAGAATGTAGGAACTTAAGAATTTAGAAATGTGAAATTCCCCAAATTACTCCAGCAATTCTCCCCCGTCCAGAAGTATCCTACGCCCGCGGGCATACACCGCTCAAAGTGCGGGCACCACAACCGCACGAAGGTTCGTCAACGTTCGTCAACGTCAGAAGGCATAGAATCGTTAACATGTTAACATTTCATCATTTCAGTATGTTGAACTTATCCTCGACAATCATTAAATATTACCGCACGCGGTAGTATCAAAATAAACCACACCGAGTGTATAGTATAGAATATTCATAAGTGTATGTATGTACAGTAGAGTTTTCTATTTATATATATATATATATATATATATTTATGTATATATACGTGTATATATTTGTTGCTTTTCACTATACTCAGAGCCTCACACATGTCTTCGTTTTTTTGTCAGTTTTTTTATTAAAAAGTCAGCTACTACCTCTTTTTTTCCTAACTGTTATTTTTTTTATATCTCTTGCTTGTCGTCGCTGTTTCCTTAGATGTTTTGTTTGTTGTTGTTGCCGTATTTTTTTTTATAGGAAATATACTACGATTAAAGTATATCACAGATGTTAACGAGAAGAACGTTCTAGAACGCGCGCGCGAGAAAGAGAGAGACAGAGATAGGGACAGAGAATAACGAAGAGAAACGAGGAGGATGTTAGGTTAGCTCCTAGCCGTTTTAGAGGATCGTTGGTCGCCGCAGGATCATTCGGAAGTACACAGCAGCTGGCTCGACATAGCTTTCCGGGAGAACTCGAGTCGAGTGAAACCAATTGACATAGAGAGATACGATTGTACGAGTTTCAATTTGTATTAAAGATTATCACAACGTCGGATTAGTCTTAAGTCCCTAATCGTATTTACTTGAAGCTCCGAGCTAGAGTCGAGAAAGAGGTGACAAAAATACCGTATCGTTAATCGACTAGTCTATAAACCGGCTATATTTATTACTTTTAGCCCGATCGTAACAATATACGTTCGATCATTCGAACCGTCCGATCGGCCCCGAAGCTCTTACGTCTAGTGTCGACCATTTTGTTCTTTGTTCCGCAATCACTGCGAAGACTACAGCTACGTTTTTTTTTTATCTCCGAAAGTTTTATCTAGATTTTCTGGCACTTCGGTAATTAACCTTTTTTTCGCATCGTTTGGCACGTTCCTCTTTAGAGAGCTACCACGACCCACCGCGGCTCTCGAAACTTTCCTGCGAACGACACGTGTGTGTTTACAATGTGTACATCGTCGAGCTGAAGAAAAAGGAAAGGCGAGAAAGTGTGGTCCGATTGATTGCAGTTGACGCATAGAATTTCGGCTGCACTTCCCTGTTACCTTCAATTTCCCTAACACGATATCTTCATTTTGCAGAGAAAAATTTATACCTGATTTTAGTGTTCTCAAATTTTGTTACCATTTTTATATCAGTCCCTACCTTACCGACACTCTGTCATTTTAAAAAAGTCATACTTTTATTATGATACAAAATTTGATAAGAAAACTGATATAATATCTAAGATTTTTCAAACTGTGTCCTCTATAACGATACAGCCTCTAATATTATGCTGAGGACAATTCGCCTAATTGAATCCTTTTTTAAACCTCTGTACACTTGTACAACATAACCAAGTATAATCTGCGTCATACATAACATAAAAATTCATAGTGCTATCAAAATTATGCAGTAATACTTTGACGGCCATACTGGCATGCGGCACGTCGGTAACGTAGGAAATGACGCTAAAGACTTTCATCAAATTGTGTCCTTTGCAAATTCTCTTTGCAAAATACAGCTATCACGTCAGTTAAATCGAAAGTGACAGTTCAGAAATCCAGCGAAAATCATCTCTTATCTAAGACCTACTGAATCCCCTAATTATCGACGCAGACTACGTCGTTCTTCCGTTCTACCAATTCCTACGAATCGACTTCCACGACGCTTTTTTTTGTTTTAACGGAACGCGAGGTTCCGATGGCAATAATAGATTGTCATAGGTTTTTTTTATTTTTAACCGCGTTATACTTTTACCGCGCCCCCCGTGACGGCGCAGGGCCGTTCACGTAATTAAATTTACTTGTTAATTATTACTCTGCTAACTCGAGAGCGCATCATCGTCTCCCTACTTTCTAGCCATAATCGGCCCTTTCCTTCCATTTTGGCAAGTTCACGGCGGCGAAGTGACTAGAATATAACGACTATATTGTCATGCACTACAGTCTTTCTTAGAGCCCAATATTGAACCCTCGTAGCAGCACACTCCATGGTACATCGCCGTGGATACCATGGCATTGGCTAGCGAATTGCACGGAAATCAATACTTCTGTTGGTGAACGAAGCTTCGATCGCTTCTGGATTAAGAGGGATCCGACGGAGTCGTGGAGGCTTTCTCCTCCGTTTCGCGCGTCCCGTCGGCGCCATCTTGTACCGCGGTCGCCGGGGAAATGGCGGTCGACGATTCCGCCGCTTCGTCGTTTCGTTTTTTGCGATGGCCGTTGCTGCTCGTGGAATCCGTGTCGTCCACGTATATCCTAACGTCTGAGTCGATGGTGTCGGGTATGTGCACCACGGCACTACTTCCGCTCCCGCTTTTGACCAGAGTGTCGCTAGACGACATCTCCTCGGACTTGTCCTCAGCCACTAAAACGTGCCCGTAACTACCGATCTGAACCGACGAACCGTACTGATCGCTGCTCGACATCCCCGTCGAACTGCCGCTCTTCAGCTTGGACGGTCTCCTTTCGTTAATGATGGATTGCACGTCGAGATCGTCCATCGGTGGCGCGGATACCCGTCTCTCGTTTCTGATCCTTGTTTCTTCGGGTCTCTTCGTTATTTCGCTCTCGGCGTAACTGTTCACCACGCTCGGGGCTCTCGAAACGTTGCTGGCGACGCTCACGTTCGTGTCGGACTGCGATTGCGTGTCGCTGGATGCCCTGCGGCATAACGTTGCCTTGGACGGGTATATGTTAGCCGTTGGTAAAAGATAACGTTCGCTGCTCGGTTTGGGACAGGTCAGGGTGGTTACCGACCCGGTCGGTGTCACCGGGGAAGAAGAACTTGCTGGTGGCTTCTTCACGCTCAACAGCGACTTGTTCTCGAGCACGTCGCTGGTTGCCTACGAATTTAACAAATATTTAATTATACCTTCGGTAGAGGCACACTGTACTTCGATGCACTGATAGAAACACAGTACGATCGAAATGAATAAAATATTAACATGGACCATCGGATGTTCATCATGCGACTCTACCTGTAGCCTTTTGCGTTGGGCGTGATTGGTGTCACGATTCACTGCATCGTAATTCCGTTGAGAAATAATTCGAGGCACGCTTAGATTGCTCATAGACTTCTCGAAAACTTCGACAACCTCAAAATGCATCGGCAGTAAGGACCTCTGTTGATGATGCCCCGAATGAAACGTTTGTCGACGTTTTGATTTGAACTTGGACGGTCTTGAATTGGAACGATGATACGAGCTGCGACGCGACAGTGACGCAGATATTGTTCCATCTGCAATTTTTTATAAAATATAATACTTATCGAGATATACAGATAAGTTATGTAGTGTTCGCACGTACCATCCGCGCTCCCCTTTCGTGGCGGATTATAAATAAAATTCGCAGGTAAGGAACGAACTTTTGCGAGACCGGGTCTGCTAGTGGATATCTTCACGTTTGTCACTAAAATTGACTCGCGTTCTCTCGCGTCGTCATCTTCCTCTGCACCGCCATCGCTTGTTCTTTCACGTTTCACCGTCTCGTCCTCTTCCTCTTCCTCTTCTACTTCCAATAATTCTTCTTGCTCCGCGGCTAGTTCTCTTTCTAACTGGGTTTCCATGTCGAGTTCATCCTCCATCTGAAACATTCATAGCTGCTTAAGATTTCTTCAAATTAAATTCAAATTGTTCAAAGTACATTTTAAGTTAGGTTAGGTAATCGTATCCTTAAGGTGATAAGTTTCAGGTCAGGTTAGGTAATCATATCCTTAAGGTGATAAGTTTTAGGTCAGGTTAGGTAATCATATCCTTAAGGTGATACCTTTTAGGTTAGGTTAGGTAATCATATCCTTAGGGTGATAAGTTTTAGGTTAGGTTAGAAGCGACATCTACATTTGTGACTAAACTAAAACGAAGTATGGTGAAGTTTGACTGTTACCTGTTTATGGCTCTCCTCGAGGTGTTTCATAAGCACAGCAACGACGACGTTCACGAGAACGAACTGTGCCATCAGCACAAAAATTACGAAAAATATAGGGGCTATGATGGTGCTCACGCAACAATTCTTCACGCAGTCCGCCGCCTCGTCGCAATCGTCCCTCAAAGTGTCCTTCATGATCCCGTTCCAATTATCGCCGGTGGCTACCCGAAAAAGTGTCAAAAACGCCATTCCGAAGTTACTGAAGTGTGCGTGTTCGCCGAGTCCTTGACAGGGCATTTCGTCGTTGCATTCTAAACGACCAAACAGTTCCACACCCAGGGCAGCGAATATGAAGAAAAGCAGAAAAAATAGTAGACCCAAGTTTCCGACCTGAGGTAACGCCTGCATCACCGTGTCTAATAGGGCTCGTATTCCTTTCGCCATCTTTAGTAACTTTAGAACTGTAAACGAAACAAACTTATTACTGTTACTTTGTTGTTAATTCTTGAACCCACCTCTAGCGATTCGTAGAACTCGCATCACGCGAATTATGGTAGGATTGATCGGGATGATCTTCGACTCGACTTCTTCGAGGACTATGCCGACTACGGAGAGTATCACTATTCCTACGTCCAACTGGTTCCATCTTGAACAAATCGTAATTGTAAATAATTAAGAACGTCCATGAGAAGTGTTGGAGCAAATCAAATATTTTAGGAATAAAAATAACAAGTTCGTACTTGTCCTTGAGGTAAAGGTGTAAACCCAGTGCAAGAAGTTTCATGAACGATTCCAGAATGAAGACCGCCGTGAAGAAGTAATTGAATATTTTGAGGGCGTAGGTCAGAGCCTTCGGCATCATGTAAAACTCCATCGCCATTGTGACAACGTTCAGGCCTATCACTGCAGCGATTGCTAGGTCGAAATACTTGGATGTTACGACGTTGTGAACGAACAGTCTGGATTTCGAGTAGTTTGTGTAATATGGCGGTTCGTGCATTTCTGTAACACAAACGTAATTGTAATTCACGTTGTTAAGTTATAAATACAGAATGTTTGAATTTTATGCACAGGACCCTGTCGCTATTCTTACTTCGACGTTTCTTCTCCATTTGCAGTGCACGTTTAGCAGCTCTTCTCACGCGTTCCTCTTTCTCCTGCTCTTCACGACACCTATGAAAATTCTCCACCACCACACCCACGAACATATTGAGCACAAAAAAACCCACCAGCAATATGAACGCTATGAAATACAGCAGTCGCCACTCGGAGTAATTCTCGATCGGCTGCAACAGAAAGGAAGTAGACTTCAGCTGACAATGTGGATGTCAAACATACTGCCAGCAAACGTGATTTACTTGTTTGTACTAGTACTACAATGTGTTATTAAAGGTACAAGTTAGTTGTACGTCTCGAATTTTACAAAATTTTCACCGGAAAGCTATGTTTCCTTACCAGGCTATGAAGTGCGGCACGTCGGTAAAGTAGGAAATGATAAAAATTTGTATCTCGGTTCATAAAAATCTTTCTCACGAATATTTGTCTATTCAAAATAAAGCTGTTTGTCACACAGCCTGCAGCAAAATCAAGAAGTTCAATAAGTTTCACTGAATTACCTGTTGATCGACACCGACAGCATCAAGTCCGGTATACATGATGTTCACCCACCCATCCCTCGAAGACAACACGAACAACGACATCAAGGCTTTCCCAAGGTCATCGAAATTATACTTTCTATTCAGCCAAACGTTTCGCTTGTCGGCCAGGCAGTCCGTTTTATTGCGCACGTTTTTTATATCAGGCCCTTCGCAATAATAAAAGGCACCCTTGAAGAGCTGCACGCCCAAGATACCAAAGATTACGAAAAAAGTACAGCATATCAAAACGATGTTGCCGATAGGTCGTAAAGAGGATAACAATGTCTGAACAACCAGTTTCAAACCAGGGGCCCGATTGATAACTCGTAATGGTCGCAGTGATCTTAAAAGTCTAAAAACCTGAAACAGACAAACGGCCATATAGCGGGACACTTGTTCAACAATACGAAAGTCTACTGCATTCAACGTGTCGTAAACCAGTTTTATAATAAAAGCAACGTAAAATACCCTCAATATTCCAAATATTCTCGGGCTACTCGATGAAAGTAGGGACATTGATAAATCGATGATAGAAATAATCACAAGAACTCCGTCCATAATGTTCCACCCTGAAGTGAAATAAGCGTCCGAGCCATAAAACATACCAGATGCTACAACCTGTAAACGAGCATTCGATAAGTGACTGCCCCAACATTGAAAGCCAGTCGATGAAAGCGACCTTGATAAACATCTCGATAGCAAATACTCCGGTAAAAATGTAGTTCGCAGTTGATAGAAAAAGTCTTTCTCCGCTATCGGGTGGTATATTTGGCCGTTCCATTGCCAGGGTAATACAGTTGAGACCGATAAAAAAAAGGACCACGTTGTCGAACCATCTCTGGTCAACGAACCACCGACACAGCATACGAAATCTGAAACGCGTAGCAAACTTTTTACAAAAATATCAAATTTGAAAATTTGGGTCAACATAACCTAGCCTAAGAGCTTTCTTTGTACTCAATCATCAAGAGTAGCAAATGATTACCTGTTGTTTGGTGGAAAAAGATAGAGCGAATAATCGTCGCGTTCCTTAAGGCAACCTTTAGGTTCAAAAAACATGAAGATCTTCTTGATCTTCTCGATGCTGCTCGCACTTCCGTGGCCATTTAGAGGTGGTGTCTGCTCGTCGGTTCGAGGATTGTCGTCTTCTTGATCTGGAAGTCGCTTAATTCTGGGCAGTGGGCCAGTCTCCATCGACAAATTATTGATTGTACGCGCTGTTGAGCATTGCATAGGCGCCTCATCCAGAGGTAGGGTTTTTCTTGTCGGCGACTGGACGTTCTCGTTGCCGCGTAACGAATTTCTTCGGGAAAGGTCGCTAATCCATCGCATCTTTAATAGATGAGTTCTTTGTTAGGAGAAGGTACAATGGGGTGGAATTGGATTGTGGTTGGGAGGAACTGGATTGACTTAGGGATGGGGCATTGTTGGATAGATGGGTGCTAGGGATATTTGAATTTTGGGGGTATTGGTGTATGGAGATTTAGATTTGGGGATTTGGGGGTTTGGGGACTTGGGGATTTGGAGATTTGGGGATTTGGAAGATTTGGAACTTAGGAAGTATGGGGATTTGAGGAATTTGGGAATTTTGGAATTTTGGAATTTGGAAATTTGGAAATTTGGAGATTTAGGAATTTGGACGCGTGGAGAGTTGGAGATTTAGGAACTTGGACGCGTGGAGAGTTGGA